CTGCATGACAAAGTTGTGAGGCCCTGCAACTTTGCAGGATATCAGGAGAATAACATAATCCTGTTTATGCATTTGTGATGCTTTTACTTGGAGGGATGTAAAAAATCTCAGTCTTTAAGAAATTACTTAAATTACGGCCAGTAGAAAACTGACTATAAATTGGCTATAGATACCAGATTTTCATTGCACTAGTTAATTTTGAACAATTAAGGATTACTTTGTGTCTTTTGCATCAGTTTAAGGTGAATATAATTCTAAAAAATCCATCATTTTTACTGCTTCTTAGGTTGCTGCAGGTCGTGAATGGTACATTCACACCATCTACACAGTTCGCTCCAAGGAGAATGCCAACAGAGGGATTGGAAAACGCAGCCTAGAATACCACTCTGTGACTTCCACAAGCAATGATGTGGCCTTGACCCCATCCAGTTCAAAAGGCCACCGCTGGAGGAGGTCAGCTGCCAATAAAGTTCCTGAAATCGCTGAAGATATTGGAGTGGATAAGAACCGTGGTACTAACATCATGCACATAGCTCTGGATCGCACCAAGCGTAGGTCAGTGGGGCCAAATGAACTCTTTGCTGATGGTCTGGAACCCAGGGAGCTGCATGCAGATGTCGAAGAGGAGGGTCTGGTAACTGTGGTAGGGGCGCTGATCGGCCTCCTGCTCATTGTCCTCATTATTGTCTCCATCGTGCTGGTGCTCAGATCCAGACAGAAGGATGGGAAGGAAGGATGGAGGGAGGGCGTGCAGGAAGTGGTGAAAGGGTCTGTCAGTACAGAGCCCATGTTGGTGGTGAGGATGCAAGACTGCCGCAACAGCTCAGAGGTCTGAGCAATGAATGCACGGACAGACAGATGGACATGTAGGAAATATTTGGGAGCTTTTATAAGTTTTTCTTTGGAATATCTTAAAAAATATATTTAAAAAATGGCATTAAATTGCTTTCATAACAGCAAAACTCAAGAGTCATCACGTATGGTATTAAGTGTGCCTGTAAATGGGGGTGAGCTCTACAGTACAGAATATATACTTATCACTGCAACAGCAAAGCAACAACATTTTTTAATTTTTTTTATTTAATGCTCAGACTTGTCCTGCAAGTAGCGTAATACTGCTGTGCTCGCTGAGTGGCTTTGTGGTGTTAAAGTGCCTGAAGGAACTACATCCCTTCAGGACAGTCCCAGTCACCCAGTGAACATTTACGATAAAGCGTCACTCAGGACAAGTCAAGAGATTTAGCGCCGCGGGTGTACCTCCGGGAAAGGAGGCTAGATATTAACGATATGTGCGTCAGAGGAAAGAATATTTCATCTCACAAAGTGATAAACTATCCCATCATTTCTGCAGTATGCTGAGGATAAAATAGGTTACTGTACACATGCTGTGCAGCTGAGGTTGTTAGAAACTCCATCCACTGGTGGGAGATAATAGAAAACAAAAGGTAAATACTGGACTTCTGTGAACTAAGTGTTTGGCTTCAAAACTTTTGCTGTATGAGCACATTCATGTTAAATCTGGGGTGAACTGTGCCTTTAAGCCTACAGTTTAGTCTTAAGATATTTGTTGGGGCAGTCGTAAAGACAAGATGGCACCACTTGTGTTTTATTTGTGAGTTAAACCTTGCAAAACTTATTATCAAACTCCAGGAATTGAAAACAACTACTGATATAATTTAACGTTTAATCACCAGCTAAACTTTTTTTTATTCCTCCACCATATCTACTGTTCCTCGTCATGTTTACCATATACCGAAGAGTGTTTTCCTGCATGTATTTGGCATCTCTGTTGCTCCTTTTTATTTTAGTTTTTTAAATATTACTAGTACAGTTTTAACACTTTAGTTTTCAGCTCATCGCTGCGTCTGATAGCACAATGTTCACTGCTGTCACTGCTATCCTCACAGTGTTGTTGCTCTGTGTTTTTCTAATACTTTCTGTCATTTTGAGGGTTTTTCTTTTCTTTGTTTCTTTATTTAACACTGATTATGGTACATTTGTAACGAGACACTCATCTCAGGAGTTATTTCTTTTACAAAGAATGGACTGTGTGTTATAACACAATTTACTACTGCTGACCGGAGAGCTCTCCAGAGCCACTTTCAACGTGTGTGTTACACTGCTAACAAGTGTGGTGCTGTGAACATTCAAATACTGTATCCATATCCAATGAATTAACCCCCTGTTCTTCCCACATTATGTTCATATTACTTGTCACTAGTGTTGTGTGGGATTTCAGTGTTCTGACTCATTTTGTTTTTCCCAAACAAATGATGCAAAGAAAATTAGCTGCTCACAGATCAGTATGTCACTATGGAAAATATCACATTTGAGACTTTTGATATAATCTCATAATTTTGTCGATGTCACTGGTGAAGGTTCTTGTTTATATGTATTGTTAAAACTATGTCTTACTCTGCTATGAATATACGACATGCTGATGTAAGTGTTCCTCAATATTTGTCTTCTTATGGTGTTGTTAGTCATCCTTGTATAATTATTTCTACTATTCATCAGGGTTAGTTGATGTGATGGACATGAGCCGGAAAGCAGCTGAGGTGTGAATCCTCGAGGTATGTCAGGATTTATACATCTGATTGCCAGCTGTGTGTGTATGTGTTTGTATTTTTCTATTTTTCGTTTCCTTTTTTAATTCTACCCTGATGAACTTGGAAATAACACCATATCTGGTATCAAATGCACTTTTTTGCATCGCCTCCCTCACACGCCACTACAAGCTATGCAATGTAATGTATACCCCACAGCCAGTTATTCCCATAATATGACAAATTTAGCACAATCAGACTTGATATTTGCTTTGTGTCTTTTTATGAATGGGTTTTTATGTATATGTATTTAAGAATAAATACTGTTTACCGGTGCCTTTTGTTATTTTCATTGATTTAATCAGTACATTTAGGTTTAGAGGTGGGGTGGACCATATGAACTTTAGCGGCTTTGATACTTGATTTGACTTCACTGCTTTGAGACTGAGAATACTTTCCCCAAATTTGTCTCTGTCATGTTAAAATCATCTGTTTTACTGGTCTATGTCATAGAAACAAAAACATATAGTGGAGGAAGTAATTATTTGATGCCCTGCTGAATTTGTAACTTTGCTTACTTATAAGGAAATGAACTCTCTCTCATTTTTATAGTAGTTGATAGAATATCAATTAAAACTCCAAAAAAACACACATTACATATAAGTTGGTAATTTATTTGCATGTCTTTGAGCAAAAAAAGTATTTTATCTTGAAGCAAAACATGACTTAAAGCTTGGTGTAAAAACCATTGTTGGCAAGCACAGCAGTAAGATGTGTTTTGTAGTTGGTCATCAGGTTTGCACATATCTCAGGGGGGATTTTGGCTCACTCCTCTTTACTGATACTCCCTTAATCCTTCAGGTTTCTTGGCAGCCACTTGGCAACTTGAAGGTCCAGGTCTGGAGACCCTAATGCGCTTCTTCTTTAGGCCACTTCTTCGTTGCTGAAAAAAACACCCATCACTAACCCATCTTCAGTGTTCCGGCTGAGAGTAGGAGGTTCTCGTCCAAGATTTTACACTACATTCTCCCGTCACTAGTCCCTCAATGCGGTCGACGTATAACTTGACCAGAAAATCAACCCCAAAGCATAAGGATTCCACTTCTGTGGACTTGACTGAGGGGATGGTGGTCTTTGAGTCACACTCAGCAGTTCTCTTCCATCAAACGTGATGTGTCAAGTTGATTGCAAGCTGATCGAGTAGAGCTCGATTTTGGTTTAATCTGACCACAGTACTTTCCCACAATAATTCTCTGAATCGTTTAGGTGTTCACTGACAAACTTGAGTTGGGCCTGTACATGCGCCTTCTTAAACGGGAGACCCTGCGGACGCTTCAACATTTCAATCCAGTTATTCCTGTTATACAGCAAAACATGTTACCAATGGTATTCTTGGTGGCTGTGGTCCCAACTGCCTTCAGATCATTAAGCTGCTCGCTTGTAGTTTGGGCTGATCCGTCATATTACTCATAATCATCCTCACCCCATGAGGCAAGGCCTTGCATTGGATCACCAGACTGAGGGCTGCTGATAGCCATTTAATACTTCTTTCATTTACAAAGAATCACACCAACAGTCACCATCTCACCAAGCTTCTTGATGATGGTCTTCTGGTCTATCCCAGTCTTTTGCCGCTCTACAGTCTGGTCCCGAAGTCCTTTGGTCTTACCCATGATGGGGGAGAGGTTGGAAGATATTTATGCTGTGAATAGGGGTGATTTATACACATAATGAGTTGAGATCAGTACTATCTCTATTTAATTGACTGATTAATTGATTAACTGTAATCTATGTGCCACATGGGCACACAACCAATTGGTGGGAGCCAGTATTCTGGCTGGGTTGTTGGGGATCAAATACTTATTTCACTCAGTGGCATGAAAATCAATTTTTATATAATGTGTTTTGGTTCTAGATTTCTGGTTGATATTCTGTCTCACCATTAAAGGGAAACTACCATAAAAAATTAGGGACTATATCCCCCACTGTACTAGTAATTTTCCATTTGCTATCACAGACTTAAGAGCTTATTTGGACTGGTGAGTAATAAGTTAAAGTAGCTCAGTTAGCAGCTGACCTGTAAGCACACACATTGTTAATTCACCTTCCTAGGCAAAGTAGGAACGATTAAGAAGGAAAAAATGGCACAATTATGACTGTCAGTGAAATGAGTTAGGCTCCACAATGTCTGTAGGGAAAAATGTTTTAAATGCTCCTCTGGGAAGCAGTAAAATAAAAGTGCAATTTGTGATTTCTTAGATTGAAGACTATGGTTCATCTGACTGCTGTGCCAATAAAGGGTATATAATTGAAATACAATTGAATAGAGAGAGAGTGAAAACTGATTGGTTGAGAGCGAAAGTGACACTCCACAAATGTGCCCACTTCCCTCCCTCCATCCTCTTCCTTCACTTCCTGCAGTGGCAGTTCTCCGCTGCTGGTTGGTTTGTAAACATGGCGACTGCTGGTACATCTGGAGATGACCTGAGGAAGGAACTGACATGTGCTATTTGTTTGGACTTCTTCAAGGACCCCGTTATTCTGAAATGCGGCCATAATTTCTGCCGCTTTTGCATCTGTATGCACTGGGATGAAAATGGCGGAGACTATGGGTATCAGTGTCCTCAGTGCCGAACGGTAAGTTAATACAGTATGTACGCCTTTTTGTTTTTATTTTTTTGAACCTCGCCTGAAGGCAAATACAATAACACGGCGATGATAGTGTTTCTTCGAATGTCTTTTTTTATTTTATAAATATCTACGAGAAATGACACCGCGTGTTTGGCTACTGTTTTAAAAAAAATAACGGATACCTACGCAGTGCATATTGCAGTTGCTAGGATAGCTGGTTGTTGTTGGGGTTTTTTTTCCCTCCTTCCCTTAGCTAACGGTAGTCAACCTGTCAACACATGAGCTGGAAGGTTAAAAGCTTAGCTCCAAAAATGATATGATGTACGCAACCTTGTGCTTGGTTAGTCGTCCTTAGCTTCTTTCTTTATTCCGTCAGGTGTTCAACAAGAGGACTTTCACTAAAAACTATCTGGTGCAGAACTTGGTGGCCAAACTGGACGATCTGGAGTGCCTGGGTGCTTGTCCTGCCCCCTCCAAGCCTGTGAAATTTGGTGAAAAGTGTGAGCATCATGGTGAAGAGCTGAAACTCTACTGCCAGACCGATAAGAGGCCTATCTGTGTTGTCTGCAGGGAATCTAGATCACACAGGTTGGGTTTTTTGTTTGTTTTTTATGATTGACTTTACAAATATCACACCACAGCTCTGTGCCCTGAAAAGATTTTATTAATGACAGATATTAGTAGTACACTGGACAGTATGAACCAGATTTTTAGGAATAATAAGGGGGCGATGTAAAAAGCACCATTTACATCTTGTGTTTTGTGTGTGCCATGCTCAATGGTATTATCTTAATATTAACAGAATATTTTCACATTTTTACTTTTTTTGTTTTGTTTTTGCATCCTGTATCGCCTAAATAACTTGCAAGCATTTACTAATGTAACCATTATCATTGGAAATTGGGACCCATAGCATGACTGGCAGCTGCTTATGACCCCACGCCAAGCTTGGGAAGCACTGCAGTATATATTCATTTCATAGTAAGATCCCAGGAGTGTTGTAGAATGAGGTTTTTGGCACTGATGTACCCAAGACGCATTTGGAATAGAATAGAATTCAACTTTATGGTCATTGCACACATCACAGGTACAAGGCAATGAAATTTGGAAGCATCATTGTGAATGCCTAGTGTACGAGTGTCCGTCTGTGAATTAACTTTAGTTTGAGACCGGTATTGAGGAGGGGCAGCCACAGTGTGCAATGACCTCAGCAAGACATTAAGCGACTTATAGCAAGGGCAGACAAAGTGGGTGGGGCTCACACATAGATTATATAGAGGATGTACCTCTGAAAAGTGAAGCCAATGCAAAAGTGCTTTAAACATGCTTTATTTAAATATGCACTGGGGCATATTGGTTATGGTTCTAAAAGACTTTCCATTTTTTAGAGCTCTATAGGGGAAAACTGCCCTCTGCCACAACTGTTAATCATTTTCTCCTGCATTTATGGGTTTGGTTGCTCAATTCAGGTCATACTGTAGGAGAAACAAATTTCTTTCAGTACATTTTAAGTAGAGGAAATGCTGATTATCTAAAATAAGCTAACTTGCTAATAACTTGTCAATGAGCATGTGGTGGTACCTAGGCAACCAGAGCCTGGAAAGTCTGCTTGTCAACTACAAAGTGTCTGCAAAAAAGCAACTTAAAAAAGTATCTATCTTCAAATAACTGTTCAGAACTTTGTTTAAAAGAGCTTTATAAATAAAGTTGTTATTATAAACAACTTGAGGATGAGTGCATTGGTGCTTATGTGGACACGCCTTTAGCTGACCAAATTTAAATTGTTTGCTCAGCAAAACAATATTTCAGAACTAGCATTGGTCATGGCTTTTAACTGTATCCTAGAAACTGATTTGCAAGCATTTGCATCTTTATTTGTTTCTCAAATCTTGGCATGTCAAACAGAAGCTGATGGTGTAAAATGGTACAAACATGATAAATGGTGACTACTTTGTTCACTGGGCAGGTGAGGGGTTACTGGTTCAAATTGCCAAATCATACATACATAGCTACCCTCTGCAGCCACTCCCTTGGCAACCCCTTGTCACAAGGGGTTGCTAAGGAAAAGATGAGAGAAGTGCACCTCTGTAGCTCTACATTTAGACTGTCTCAACTTAATACTCAAAGTTCCTGATCTCACCATTCTCTTTTAACTAAAATGTGAAGCCGTAATTTTTCAGGCTTCTGTTGTTCTAACTTAGAAGGAACTTGATGAGAACTTGGTGCTCATTCTACAACACTGTAGTCTACCTTTAGCACCAGGTAAGCAGCAGCAGTGGTCCAGCTGTCATACTAAAATGCATAAGGGACCCTGAAGTCCAGGGACAGATGCAGGTATGAGATGCTTATGAAAAAGACCTCAGGTTGTTTTCTAAAAGATCTGGGTTTAGGAGTCCCAGAAAAAGGCTTCACATCAGAGAACCTTCCAGATGGACCTACTCTAAACAGAAAATATTTGATGTACCAAATGCTGTTGCACTTCAGAAATCTGCCTCAAAAGGTTTGCAAATGCACATGATATGATCCACATGATAAGATTTACAAATGTGTACTATGGTTTTTGTTTGTCCTTTTGAGGAGTTAAGTCCTCAAAAGGACTGCTTCAATCTGCGTGCTTCAAGCCACATAAATGCGAAGAAAATGCATACATCCAAACCTGAATAAATACCGATCATTTTTGCACAGTTTAAGTTTAGGTCACAAATCTGGTCATTTTACCTTTTGAAAACCTTCCTGTGTGTACAAATATCTAAGAACTACACGCAACTCCTCTCTTGCTCACTTACAAAACCTTAAATATGTGTGGCCGAATTGCCTATATGCACAGATCACATCTTATGCCCATGTGGGGTTTTGAGACCAATTTAACGCTGCCAGCTACAGATCCACAAATATAAGCTATGTTCAAATCCCAGTGTAAAACTGGAACATCTGGCCTTCCATTGCATGCATATGGGTTTTTGTTTGTTTGTTTTTGTTTTTTTCTAAATAAACAGAACAGCTGGTAATCCCTTTTACAAGAAAATACGGATTTACCAATTACAGACCCTACACAGTAGCCTGCCACCTTCTGAAATGTTAAGGATAATTAATTACGCTAATATCAGTGTTGGCCTGATTTCATTAGAGAATGCTCAGATTAACATAAAGGGTTTATTCCACTTTACCTCCGCTATATCTGTATTCAAAATATGGAGCATATACTTAATGCAGAGGATGGTCCCAAAATTGGAAGCAGTTTGTTCGCACTAACCAAAACAACTACAATCTTCATCTCATGCGACCCCCTGGCGCCAGCTGGATGCTCAAGGCAAAAGCTGGCGGGAATAACAAAATAGTCCTTGGATAACAAGACTGTTGTGACTCTCTCCCCCACCCCAAGGCCACCCGCATCGACCGAAGACTGTTGACTTTTGCCTAACCGGGTGAAGGGACACTTTCTCTCGGCTGAACACACACACATACGCATGTGCACTGACACAGACCTACACTCAATTACACCAGACCCTACACCAATTTCCCTCAGGATGAATAAAGTATTATCAATTTGTACACAGAAAATTTTACCTTTCGAAAACGTATTGGATTTGTGAGCTCAACTTGACTGTGTAGAACTGATCAGTATTTATTTATATTTTATTTATTAAAGCACATGCTCATGAGTCCATAAGTTACACACAACATTGCACACATTTGTAAAGCTTAGTTTATGCTAGTGGATCATATCATACACTTTTGCAACCCTCTTGAGGCAAATTTGTCTCCATATTGATGTTATAGCCTTCACTTTTGTAATCTGTCGGTGACCTGATGTGACACGAATAATGTTCATTGATTAAAGTGAAAGATGACTAAAACCTAAAACTGAGGATTGTGGCTAGTTCCTGTCTTAGGGGTATTAACGAGTAACTTTTTAAACATTAGTCATATAACTAAAAAAGGACTCGCTGAAAACTTTTTCAACCATTCTAATCCACTATGAGAGGTTCTAAAACTGCTATTTTTCTGTCACAGCAGTTTCCCAGTTAATTCAAACAAGAAAAACTCTTTATAAATGCCACACTATGCAAAACGGATTATATGAATTGTGTTTATTTGTTCCTTTTTATCCTCAGATGAGGAATTGTGTAAAATAACGTTTTCTCTGTTGGAGAATTATATTGTGGAAAGTTAATCCATTGGGATTTGTAAGAAACACAATCTGTCTGAAAGGAAGTTCTAGATGACACAGTGAGTCCAATGTTTGTTTATTTTTGATTGCAACAAATTGTTCTGTAACATCCTGAGTGTTTTGTTTCAGACACCATGATGTGGCACCAGTGCCAGAAGTTGTGAATGACATGAAGGTAGCAGTAGTGTTGTTGTTGTTGTTATTATTATTATTATTATTATTAATTTATTTTTAAGTAGTCTCCTATTATGTATTGGTAACCTAGACTATTATTTACTGCATCTCTAATATTTGCACTGTTGCCCTGCTTTCCTGACTACATGTCTTCCTGTACATTTGTTACAGATGGAACTGAAACTGAGGCTAATGGAGCTCAACTGGCAGAAGTCTCAATGTGTAAAAGTTGTTACGGCTGATGAGCTCACTAAAAGTGAACTGAGGGTATGGAATGACCGTTCTTACTTGCTCTTTTTGTGAACTTGGTGTTTGTTCAAGTGGCCATTTTTGCATATTGCATGCAAACATTCAGTTGTACACAGTGAAATTTTAGTGGACTGCTGAACATGCATTTCTTGAGCATTCATCTTAAAGTTATGTTAACATTATAGTTCTGGTCAGTCAATATTATTTTGTTTGTTTTGGTTGGGGGGTAAGAGCCTTGTCAGGATGACTCTAGCAGATTCTCAGTTCTGTTTATTCCGCTTTGCTCAGGCTGATGTGCTTGTTTGCACAAATGACTCTGCCATATTATTTGGAAATGCATGGTCACATTTAAAAGATGACTTAAACCACAGATCGTGTGTCATTCATAGTTTAAACCAACAGTGTCGTTGTTTGTGGTCGGCGTCACTAGAACTGTAATGTGACCAGTGTTGGGTGTAATGCGTTACTGTAATTAAATTACTCTTCCACTGAAAAAGTAGAGTAACTAATTACTGTTCATTTTTAGGCATTTTAATTTCAGTTACTTACAATGTACTTGCATTACATTGTAAAATAATTCAACTCGCTGAATATCATTATTTAATTTCAATAATTTATCTTCTAAAGGTAGAAGTAAACTCTGCCGCTTTAACATCGTTGTAGTGCAGGTGCACGTCATTTCGCGCCAGTTTGCTGCATAGTCGTATTCTAAAGCGGAAGATGTCGGACTCGGCTGAAGCGAGTGGCTGTTTTATGAAATGGACATATTCCTGTCTGTTCACTTTTCTGAAACAAGCAGACAAGAACATTACCGTAATATGTAAGCTATGTCCTGGGGAGAAAACTATCGGCCGCTGTTAATAGCAGGAGTAATCTACTGAAGCGCCTGACACGAGAGCATAGACGAACACTTCTGAGTGATCCTTGTTCATCATTCATGGATAACACCGCAGCAACTCAGGCTAAGCAGGTAAAACGTGATTTTACTTCAGCAGCACAGAAAGCGTCTGAAGGTGAGCTTAAAAAATGATTGCAGGCTGCTTTGTGGAAGAGATGCTACCGCTGCGTACTGAGTCTCCGTCTTTAAAAAAAATAAAATAATTATTTAAAGAGTTTAATATCTATTGTTTGTCCACTCAAGGTTTATAGGGATTTTAAGAAGTATTTAGTTAAATTACTTATTGAGTAACTTTTCAAACACAGTAATTAGATAAGTATTTTAAATACAATATTGATTAAGTAATTAGTAATTAATTAAAGTAACTTACCCAACACTGAATGTGACACATTTATCTTAAACTTTTCTTTTGCTCTAGTTGAAAAAGCAGAGACTCAAGGAAAAGATTGAAGCAGACGTCGGTGCCTTGGTCCAGTTTTTGCTGGACGAGAGGGACTCGCTGCTTGAGAGCCTGGACGCTGAGGAAGTGGCCACCATGGCTGTTATAGATGACAACTTGAAGACTGTGGAAACGGAAGCAGCAGCTGTGGACAAAGCTATAGCAGCTATCCACAGCCAGATCAATGGAAAAACTAACTTTGAGGTCAGTTGACTTCAAAGGTTAACTTGTAAATTGTCAGACCATGGCTATGGCATAAGAGTTGGATAACAATATTGCTGCGTTCCCATCCCAAACCCTTTTGCTTCAAAAAGGATAAAGCAGTATTCTTAAGAATGAGAATGTCCTGTAACATTCCTTTTTATCAGGCTTCTTCTGTTAAAAGCTGCACTATTGCCTTTACCTTTTTGTGTTACTGCAATCATGCTGTCTGAAAATGACAAATGTGTGCTTTTTTTTTTTTTTTTTTTTAACTGTACACAAAAGTTAAAATGCTTGTTTATAACTGGGTGATAATCATACATTTTAAAGCTGAAATAAAAGCACAGCCGTTGTCTTTAGGTTGACAGTGGGATGGAAAAATTTGGTGCACAGAGTTGTAGTTATAAAATTAGACCTAGGAACACACCCCTAGTCAACCAGAGTAGCCTTAAATACTGTTTACTGTAGATACTCAGGAGCCCAAATTGTTGTATTTAAATATCACATGGGAAATCAAACGTGAAGTAAAACCCCACCAGCAAATAGCCGCCATCATCCAACATTCTTTATTTTGACAAGCTTCTCTAAATTAACCTTAAAAGCAGAGTTGCTGTGGACGTGAGCATACTGCGTGGCCATTCATCATGCAAAGACAAACAGTCATGCAACTGGTCTGATTTCATATTCTTATAAAAGGACTTTAAATATTAATTTGTGATAAACTGCAGACACCCTGATGACAGTTTACCACTGTGCACTAAGGATTAAGGATCAAAGCGTCCTTAAAATGGCATATGGGCACATGGGGCTGCTCAAAGCAACAGAAATGTTATGAAACTTGTTTGTTAGGGTTTGAATTATACATTAAACCACAAATTAAGTATTTTCTTTCTTTTCTGCAACAGAGCCTTGCTGAGACGTTTAATGAGTAAGTAGCTTTTTGTTCATTTATTACAAAAATGCTTTACAAAGACCCAGCATGTTAATTTCAATGTTTCTTCTGCAGAGTTGTACAGTGCAAGCCTTTCACCTCTTTGGAGCCGGTTAACTGTCCGACTGAATTTACAGACTTCTCAGGGCCCTTTCAGCTCATCATGTGGAAAAAGATGATGCACGTGCTGCACACCAGTAAGTTGAAGAATCATGCACTGTCAGTGCTTAAGAGATGCTATATTTGAACTGTAAGACTGATTTTTATGCATGAGGTCGGGCATTTTCAGCCTAAAGCTTGCTGGATGGTGAATATATTAAAGTCTCTAAAGAAACCGCAGTAATGCAGGTTAACTTTTCTGCATGCTTTCTTTTTTAAAAGGGGTTGCTGTCTAATAGGGCTGCAACTAATGATTCTTTTTGATAGTCAACTAATCTACATTTTTTTCTGCACTCAGACTTTTATCAGTCCTAATAAGGATATGATTTTTATCAGCATACAAATGATTATATTTCTAAGCACAAATGACAATATAAAAAAATATCAAGTCCAACAGGCAGTTTGTCTACCAAGTCTGCTCTTTTAACCTTTTTAAAAATGTAGTATCAGGTCAGCTTAAGACTAATGTCATTTAATCTGTCATGGCGTCTCCATAGTGCCCCAGAACCTCACCTTGGACCCAGACACCGCTCACCCGAACCTGCTTATCTCGGACTTTGACACCAAAGTGGAGGAGGGCCGTGTCCGCAGCCAGGAGCCAGACCTGCCTGCCCGCTTCAATCGGTTCTGTGGCGTCCTCTCCACAGCCCAGTATGCTAGTGGCCAGCACTACTGGGAGGTGGATGTGAGGGACAAAGGTGTGTGGTACCTGGGAGTGACCACAGAGTGCAGCAACAGGAAGGGCTTCGTCAGCCTCACACCCTCCGCAGGATACTGGAGCCTGTGTCTGCAGGACCGGCTGTACGCGAATGGGGAGGACGGACGCATTCCAGTTGCCGACTACTGGAATTCTCCTCGCGTGGGTGTGTACCTGGACTATGACAACGGGCGTCTTAGCTTCTATGATGCTGTAACAATGAAGAGGCTGTACATATTTGACACCTGCTTTGAGGAGCCAGTCTACCCTTTCTTCAGCCCAGGGAAAAATGACCCAGGCAGCAGACTGCAAATATGCCACTATTACTGAGAGTTTAACGCCTGTGTGTTCATTTCTGCCTGTTGGCAAGGCTTTATCTCATAGATCAGGCTGGAGTGATAGGCTGATGTTGACCCTTGAAGTCATGTATGCTTTTGAGTTGTCTTACTGGTTTTTAGAAAGTACATTTTACATTAAATAAAAAGTACCAGGTGCACACAAATTTGGTAGTTTTCAACTTGGACACACACTGTAGGCTCATACCTCCTCCTTTGGCTGGGGGTTTGGAGAAGTGCTTTGCTATTCATCACTGTGTCTGCTGGGTTGCAGATGCCTCGGATGCTCTTGTTGTTCAGAGCATATTCAGAGCTGTTATCCCGTTAGCAACAACTATGCCATACTTCTACTACTATAAAAGCTCACTCTTAGAAGGGTCAGTGGTGAAGCATTGTCTGGTATAGTTTGAATGTCTGTCGTTATCACACTAAACATTCCCTCATCAATATGAGACTGAACACTCAATTTTGTCCATATTGTATTGATTTTAGCTCACAATTAGACTTCCAGGAATGAATGGAAGTGGCAACATCCATCAGTACAAATCATTTTTATCACAACCCTTTTAAACACTTAATTTTATATAAGATAAAAAGTTAAAGTCGCACGCTTGGCATTTTTTCATTTTCGAACTTTTCCTCTGTATATTGCTGAGTTGCGTCTTTCTTTTTTGATGCTGCAATTTATTATTTTTTTTTTTTTCTTCTTTTCTTTTTTCCCCCTGGTGTTGAAAGCAAATCCGTTTCAGTCAGTGTTGGTATTGATCTGGATAGAAGGCAAAACTATGACAGTATTCTAACTGCAGGCTCAGCAAGCATTAGCTGTTGCATATACTTGCATGGAATTTTTATTTTTATTTTTATTTTTTTTTGTTCTCAGCGACAAAATTGGGGAAACTCATGGACTGGAAAGGCTGACCTAAAAGCTAAAGAGGAGGAAAGGTTTTTTTTTGTTTTTTTTTTTTCTTCTTCTTCTTCTTTTTCATAAACAGAATTTTGTTTTCAAATCATCACCATTGTATTTTAAGTCTTTTTGTCCCCATTTAACTTTTTTAAATGTGTTTTCGCTTTTTGCCCCCCCCCTTTTTTTTTTTGTAATATTAAATGGTCTCATTTGAAACGCACCATGTGATCACTTGACAGTATTTGAGAATGGCAGTCCTATTCTATTTTTGGAGGTCTGCCATCACATGTTGGGACTGAACCTCTACTCTTTAACTTTGAGTATTTGCTGGTAAATGTTGTCTCAGATGGTGTATCTTATTCAAGACATACTTTTTATTGCTGAAATGTTGGGGTTTTTTTGTTTGGTTTTTTTTTCCTTTGGGGGGGCTTCTATTAATGTGATTGGTGTTTCTCACATTAGGATTAAAAGATGCAAAGTGTATTTGTGACTTGTAAGTCTGTCATTCATTTAAAACACTTTGTATTTAGACAGTGCAGTGAAATTAGAATAGTGTTGCAACTTCTTCCACAATTTCCTTTAAACTGAACTTTATCTTTGCTATAAGGTTACTAAAGATCAAAAACAAGACAACTCTCTGCAATTTAGTATTTCCTGCTGCACTTGGGATCGTTGTCTTGTTACATGCCTCAGTTTTTGCCATGCTTTAGCTGTCAGACAGATGGCCTTGCGTTGAACTCTAGAGTACTTTGGAATATTTGGGTTATACTTTAGTTCCAGGTGTCCAAATGTGGTGGGCTTTGTTTTGAAAACTTGTCTTTAATGTTTTCCTGTTGCGTATCTTTCATTACAGAATGATACACACTTGAACTTGTTTGGAAATGACCTAACAGACTCTCCAGACTTGTAAAACTTTTGTATGACCCCCTAATTCCTATGAAAGCATTAAGTGTGTACTACGCTGTTCTAAACAGATTTTTCAGGTTTATTTTTAGTATGTTATTTGCAATTGGTGTTTGTTCTGGGAAAGATATTGCAGACTGAGCAATAATGCATTTCTAATGGGGGCCTTTCTTAAAATTACTGGTCCCAGTAACAAAGGCGCTTGTCGACTCAGAAATCGAGGGAAAACCTTATAGTCTGATTTGTCATAATTTTTCTGTTTTGTGGTAAGCTTTTCTTTGGCTGTCACTTCTTCACCCCGACCTGTCTTATTTGGCTCAGCAGAACTAAAATATATATCCTGCTGCTTTTACACACGCACTCACATAACGCTCAGCGATTCTCTGCGCGATCAACCTCTCACATGTTTAAGCTTGCTGCGGGAGATTTCACTTGTCATGTTTGCATAGTAAGCTAATGATTGATTAAGACGACATCAGAGGAATTGGTGCGCAAATTATCGTCACTCACCAATCAGTACTGTCGCTCTCTATACACAGTTCGCGCGATTGCAAAGTGAAAGCAAAAAACAAGCGCAAATTCTGGCTCACCGATGCCAATGACATAATTACCCAGCTACATTTCCGAAAGAATGCAAAAGCATTGACATATATTTTTCCTTCCTATGATAGCCCGACGGGCAGGGCAGAGATAGATTTTTGGTAGCCTGACTGGAAAAATCACTAGCCCCGGGACGTTGGGCTAGCGATTTTGCGAGCCCTGCTTTGAATTTAAAAAGTGTATTTTTGTTTACCATGACTGTAGTTTTCATCAGCTGATGAAAACTGAGAGTTATTACATCCAGCTGATAAAAATGCTAATAGCTTTGGTTCGTTCTACTAACAAAACAGGCTGCTTTCCATTTTCCCCAAGATTTTCATCCTTCCGTTCCCTAATCTTGAAATTGGGTGTGGTATTGCTAATTTCATACTGCAAGAACATTTAAGGAAGAGGTGAGAAGGCTGTTCTTATTGTGTCCTCATTTCTTTGATAATGGCGTGTTCTTGACTTAAAATAATTTGGGTTTAAGGACTGGCCATACAAATGACCATTGTGTTTAGGTTGACAATCACATGCATACTTGCAGTAATACTTCAGAGAACCATTGCTGATTAAAGTTTTCTTCTGGCAGGGTTTTTTTCAGATTAAGCTGATAATATTATTATTTTATTTTTAAATTGTTTTTATTTATTTATTTATTTTAATTATTTAATTTAATTATTAACTCTGGCCAATCTTTTTTTTTTTTAAATAAACTTTACCAGGAGAGAGATTCTTAAATATAAGGTTAGATTAAAACTATTTCTACACTGCACCACTGAATGCCTGGTGTGTAGCAAACACTTGTTATACACCTGGGATCTTCCTCAGCAGAGGAGACTGATTCATCAAATGCTTAAAAATTATTGGCTGCTGGGGTCTCTTGCAAGAAACTGGAAAGGCCGGGCTGTTATGACTCATTTGATTTATACAAAGGTCTCTTGAGAGAGGCTTCGTGTCAGTGTATTGTAAATGTGTTTTATAAATATTAAGTAACATTTTTCTATGCAAAAGCCGTAAGACATGAGAATCATATTATCAAGTCCCAATGATGTCGAGTTCTTTTAACATTAATGCAAATGCCAAGAAGCAGGCAAGTGACATTTTATCTTATTTGACAATAGAATAATAGAAAAAGAGAACATCAGAAAAACAACTGGCATGACTGCGTGCATAATCTTTAGTAGGTAAAGTAGGCATGAAGAGAGATGCTGATCTAATCTGGCCAAAAAACAAAGGAAAACAACTGAAAATTCACTGTAAAAATAAGTCTACTGTATAATACATAAACTAAAGTTTAGTTATACAAAGCAGGCAATTTGCAGTAGTTTAGTCATTCTTTAATTTACAATCATACCTTCCCCGTGATACATGAACGGACTGATTACTTGTAAATGGCCTCTTGTAGTACACAGTTGTATACGCACAAGTTGATGTAATTTTATTAATACTGTGTGCTTCAGTTTCCCCCCCACATGTCTCTGACAGTTAAAAGCAACAACCAAAAGAATAAATACAGTCTAATGAGAAGGGAAGTTTAGCTCAATCTGTCAGTTTTCCAATAAATAGGAAATGCAGATGGAAAATCAGAATGAGTCAGTACTGGGGGACAGACAGTATTTCTAAAACACAGGTGAGAGATGATTTTGTGTCACTGCATATTAGCTGGTGTTGTTTTTGTAAGAGTCACACGCACAAAAAACAAAAGCCTCTAAACATTGAACTACAGAGCAAATGAATACAAATCCTGGAAAATCCACGATAAAAGTGCTTGTCAGCTACAACAGGAATATGATTGTAATATACAGTACATGTTCTGATTATGTCAAAATGAACTATACATAGAGGCATATATTACTCTTGCAAACTATATAACTCTCATTATTTGTATTCTGTGCAATGTTCAACAGCAACTTACAACAATAGGTTTTGGCAGAAGGAAATGTCACTGTTTGACCGGGAAGAGTCAAAAACAGAAAACAGCTTTGAGTGCTACAAGTTACAATGGTATAGCTAAGTTTGGCAAAGAGGAGGAGAAGGTTCAAACCGACCAATTAGAAAAATAATTTGTCAAACAAATTATGTAGAAAAGAAATTTTTAAATAAATAAATTCTTTTGCAAAAAGGAAAAAAAAAAAAGAATACAGCAAATAATTATTACAACTTTGTTCCACTGATGTTTCATTCATTCAGTTAACTACTTGGCGTGACCTTGTTTCTGTTTAAGTGCTGGAATATGTAGGCTATATAGACACCAAATCCATATATATATATATAAATATATACATACGTGTAAATATGCATATGCACAACTACAGTGAATTGTAGGTATGAATATACGAAAGTGCAAGGACTAGTTACTATTATTTTGTTTTGCTAGTAGGGCTCCGACTTTAGGGTGAAGGGGAGCTGGTTCAGATATATAGCCTTTTTTTTTAAACTACTGTGCTTTTTGATGCTTGTCTTTGGATCCCAAAATGAAACAACTTGCATATACGTAAACTCATCTTATGGCTAAACAGAAATAATAATAAAAAAAAATGATAAGAATAATTTTAATTGTGCAGTGATCATGTCAGACTGATAAGGTGCAGAATGAGAATGATAAGCAGTTCCTTTTAAAACAATACATTCCTGAAGTTTCTGCAGAGTTCGCTGATGAATATTGTAAGGCAGTGACAAGGAGATCATTTTCAGAGCACACGAACATGCAACGTTGTTCAAGGAAAGACCTGAGCATTTTTTTACTCATAAAGCATCATGTTCCTTTCAGGAAACAGGGAATCTTCATTGCGTTGCCTTGTTTCCTGGATAATGAGTGTTGCCCATCTGCATTGCCAAAACAAAACAATTTAAGACTGACAGGCTGTGAAGATACACTTGGGGAATAGAGCTAAAAGGCCTTTGAGCCAGGGGTTAATTTCCTGTTCATTTTTTCCTGTCGATAATTGGTTAGTTTTAGGCTCAAAGCCAATCAAAGTAAACTATTATACTTATACCTAATATATGTCATTCATACACACACACAAACTTTTTTCTTTACTGTGACATTGATTCTAATCACAAATTTAGCCAAGTGTTTGTGCAAATAATTCCCATGCGCTAACAGCTCAGGCTTCTAGTTGCCTAAAGCACTCTGTTTCACTCAATAACTTGACATTTCAAGTCATTAAGCTGAATTTTTTAGGTACCAAAATTGAATGACTGATTTTCAGGCACGCAGCTCTGTGAGAAGCGCAACACTGCCCATCTGCTGATAAAGCCCACCTCAAACCTCAACCTAAAACAGCTTGTTTCAGACAGAATCATGCAAAGCTACTCTAGTTGAGTCCGAGAATAAAAACATGAGGTGGAGAGAAGCATTATAGCTCAGCTTTATGGAAAGTTAAAGTTAGACAAACCAAGAATGACAAAATATAGACATGCCTAATTGATTGTTTAGGTGTTTTTGATGTATGCATGTCTGTCTATAGACCTATTTTGCCATGTAACAGCAACACGACTGTACAAGAGTAGTAGTAGTCATCTAACTTTGCAGGTGTATAGGTGAGCAGAGGCTGTTGAAAGTATGGAGTCATTTCATGCCCCTATCTCACATTCTTTAAAAAAAAAACGCAAGTATTTGAAAGTCTCTATATGAGATATGTTTACCTGATTGATTGTTTTTTAAAATAGAAGTAATCCAAGAGCTCACTGCCGTTTCAGTAATTATGTTTTCTATTCTTGCAGTAGTCAGTAGTTTTGGTGATATCTAGCCAATTTTGTCTTTGAAAACATTAAAATTGCATGTTTTGGAAGTTCGTTCTTAATATCATTTCTTGTTCTTAAACTCTGGATATTAAATCCTTGAAGTATTTACAGACAAAATGAACAGGAAATTAATTTGTAGACATGGAGCCTCTGGGAAGTGTGCAGGCATGTTACAACTTTTTCTCTGCAAGAAATATGTGACATTGATTTTTAAAGCCGGAGTTGGTGGCAGCGGCGACATCTCCCCCTCAGTCTACTGCAGATATCTGTAAACTTTAAAGCAATGATTGCCAGAGTCTGCAACAGCCACGTGTCCATCTGAGGTGAGCGCTAGGCCCTGGGGGCCGTACAGCGGGTCTGCCGAAGTGTTAATGTAGGATAAGAAGGACCCCGTGCTGTCAAACACCTGATGCAGAAAAAAAGGTCAGAATTTTCAGCAATTCTGTCACAACAAAACACAGCAACGGCATTAAAATTACATCTACATGTAAACTGCAAGCTGCCTCACCTGTATTCTGCTGTTACCCCAGTCAGCTACAATGATGTTTCCATTGGCATCCACAGCAACGCCAGTGGGAGCGTTGAATTGGCCGTTCCCTTCGCCATGAGAGCCGAACTTGAACAGGAACTCCCCATCAGCGCTGTACACCTGAGGCAAAAAGCCAGAAAAGTTTGGTCAGCATCTT